GGGTCTAATGTAAAGTTGTGTGTCTGTGTTCAGAAGGGTCTAATGTAAAGTTGTGTGTCTGTGTTCAGAAGGGTCTAATGTAAAGTTGTGTGTCTGTGTTCAGGAGGGTCTAATGTAAAGTTGTGTGTCTGTGTTCAGAAGGGTCTAATGTAAAGTTGTGTGTCTGTGTTCAGAAGGGTCTAATGTAAAGTTGTGTGTCTGTGTTCAGGAGGGTCTAATGTTAAGTTGTGTGTCTGTGTTCAGGCTGCAGTATGGCAGGCGCTCAACCACTATGCTTACCTGGATGCTGTCTTTCTGGCTGAGAGGCTCTACGCTGAAGGTAACACCTGTCTTCCTGACTTTTATTTCTGTCTGTTTACTTGATGACTGTTTACCTGTTTACCTGTTTGTTTACCTGTTTACCTGTCTGTTTACCTGACTGTTTACCTGTCTACCTGTGTGTGCCAGTGCGGTCAGAGGAGGCTCTCTACCTGTTAGCCACATGTTATTACCGCTCCGGGAAGCCTTATAAAGCTTATAGACTACTAAAGGCTCACAGCTGCTCCACACCGCAGGTTCGATTCCTGCTGGCAAAGTGCTGCGTTGAACTCAGCAAGTAAGAAAACACACTCTGACCTTTGATCTTCCCCTGACATCCACCCACACTGTGAAGCACATTTTACCTGTCCCTCACCTGTCTGCCTCACCTGTCTGCCTCCCAGGTTGGCGGAGGGGGAACAGGTTCTGATTGGTGGAGTGCTGAACAAACAGAAGAGTCAAGATGACATCATCACAGAGTTTGGAGACGCTGCCTCTTTCACATTATCTTTACTTGGACACATTTATTGGTAAGCAGCTGGTTGTCTCTGTGTGTCTCTGTGTGTCTCTGTCCAGTTGTCTCTGTGTGTCTCTGTGTGTCTCTGTCCAGTTGTCTCTGTGTGTCTCTGTGTGTCTCTGTCCAGTTGTCTCTGTGTGTCTGTGTGTGTCTCTGTGTGTCTCTGTCCAGTTGTCTCTGTGTGTCTCTGTGTGTCTCTGTG